TTGATCGTGATCAAGATGCTGTAGCGGAAGAGTAGATGTACTGTCCTTTCGGTGGGTGCTCTAGCTGGCACACTGTAGCATGCGTTGAGTCTCGGGTAGCACATCCTGATGTTACTCGCATCCCGTCCACGTATGAAGACGATCAAGTGTTGGTGGTATTGCAGTCGTGTCATAGTCCTGCTTCTGTAGCAGCGTTGTATCAGATACATGCAGCTTCTGTCGAATGATAGTCCATGCCGTAGTGTTGTCGCGAATTGTACCCACTCAGCATTACAGTGCTGCAGGAATGGAGAGCAGAATCACTAGTAGTAACCCTGTCCACCACGCGGTCTGCTACTCACATTGCCTTGAGTACAACAGCGCATGCGAAGTGCTGCTCAGCATATCCCTTGTGTTCAGAACCATGCGAGGGGCTGGAACCATAAACGCGGAGCTGGTAACTTCCAGAATCGGCGCCAAGTAGTTTCCCTCGGTGGTTGCTCAAGCAAGGAATCTCAGCTGCGTAGATATCCCATGGTGATGGGTTAGGATATCTGAGAACGTTACGGGTATTCCCAAGTAATCCTCTCCTGTTTCCAAATGAGCATTGCTGATAGCCAATCCAGTATGACCTTATGCACGTCCAGTTTAGCACGGAGGCCATCGGTAGGCATCGGTGTCTGGCGCACATATTGGGATAGGTCTTCTGGTGCCATCATGTGTTGTCTCATTATGTTGCTGTCCTTGAAGTAGCGATGATGTCGAAGTTGTCTCAGCTACTCAGCATTAATGTTGAAGTCTGCTCCATTTTGGCAAACAGGGGTGTTGTTGGAGATACGCGGAGTCCACTGTCCGGAGTGGCGTCGGCGCTCCATTTTACGCCTATCTGCTTCCGTGGAGTTGGTGCTGGTGATGGATTGGTTGCGACGCAGGTTTTATGACTTTAAGGAAAGCCATAGGCCATGAGGACCGTATACCGGTAGAGTACCGTGGTCCTCCCATCCCCATAAGAGCAAATATCTTCCGCTCTTGAGGGTGTATGGCATTGCCATGTTGTTTCCTCGCATAGTGGTATCTCCTTCCCACTAGCTGGAAATCATAGTACTGTGCCTGGCCGGGACTTTACGATCCACTGGAATATAATCCAGCATTATCTCCATTGAGTGGAGAATCATCCATCAGGGTTTGGTTGTGACTGTTGTGTCGAGTCTTCTGCTGCGGCGGCGGCGGCGGTTGTGACGACGGCGACGGCGGCAGCTGCTGCAGAGAATTCTCTCAACTCGTACCAGTTGAAGGAGAATCCATCAACTCCCTCTTCCCAGTAGAGTGTTCCTGATGGGTGTAACAGGCGTAACTACCAGGAACACGTGCACATTAGTACACATGTGTTGCTCCATTGCTGCCGGTAATTGTTTCATTTGAGGGTGTGAAGAGAAATTTGCTTCTCCCCTCAATGTATCCACGGGTAGCAATTCCTGGCATGCTCATCCGTGCCTCCGATGTACGGCCGGTAGAGCGCGTGATCGTGTTGTAGTAGTCCGCATCTCCCTCATTTGTTGACACCTCGTGTTGCTTGACGTTCTCCTGCATCGTCGAAGTTACGCTGATGCTTGTAACGCTTCGGCTTCTGGTAGAATCGCCTCCAATGTATGTGCCGTAGGGTCGCTAGTGAACGAGTACTTGCCAGATTAGAGGTTAATTACTCCTCAATCTGTCAAGCATCGTGACATGCACGGAAAAAATTTCCACGCAGGTCATTAACACCTGGAATCGCGACGCATGATTGGTGTGTCGCCTCGTGAGGTTGATGTTGAGACTGCTCCAATCAATCACTTCGGATGGCTGAGATTCTTGATGAAGACGAATCGATCAGCTCCTGTTACGAAATAGTGTCTCGCTGGCCTTGACGAGACGGGTTCACTGCGTCGTCGTTGCGTGCGAAATCTGCTCCTTCGCAGCAGCTTGATATCCAGAATATTGCAAGAGAAAACGGTTACTTCTCTGCAATCCCATAGCTTGTCGATCCAATTTATGAGATAAAGTATCTCATGGATGGAGAACATGTCTTCACGCAGCTCCATTGTTTTTCCTGGGTGAAGATCCGCTGTGTTGATGTCGATCCATTTTTAACGAAGATGACTTCGTCAAAATAACTCGATCGTAATCGACATCAGTCAGAAGATGCGTCGATTCTGCAGTCACTGGTCACGAATGTTGTCTCCATGATGACGATTTTCCATAGTGTAGTCTCCGCTGCATTCGTGCCGTTGTTTCCGCACCGATCCGACGATCCACGTTCTCGTGTCAATTTTCTGCTTGCAGCTATTACCAAGTAGGTAATACTCTGGCAGATTTCTGACTCTGCCGATGATTTGCGCGCCATATTCGTCACCAAATGAAGAAATTCGAATCTGGTTGTCCAGATCATGTCAGCGGTGTCGAAAGTGGCTGATTTCTGGTTCTGCGCGTCATTCTCCCTTCGTGCAGAAGTCACGTTCCATCTCGTCCGTTGAAGTAGAAGTCGATCCGACGGTCCAAACTCCAAGCGATCTGAGGATACTCCTGAGTCGCGTTCAGCAGCTTTAGGTGCCCGGGTTGACTCGTTTCCTGCAGCAATTCTCGGTCGTCGATGTCGGCTGTCGAACGATCGGACGCTCTGAAGAACTTCGCGGCTTGCGAGGTCCCGTTCCCATTCGCGCCGAAACGCAAACTCGCTCAGATGGATTTCGTTTTCGCCTCGGTCGATCTGAAGCGTCGAATCTCCATCGGACGGATGTCGTCGGTCGAACCTCCGCAGAGTTCCGCGCAACTCCAAGTGTTGTCGCGAACTGCGAACTTTTCCGAATGTCGCAGGGAGTGTTCCGCCGGAACTGACGCGCTCGCCAGGTCGAGGCCGTTTGCCCCCGCGAAAAATCGGCACCGTCGATGCAGTCCATCGAACGGTTGGCGAGGCATCTCGCCTTCGAAGGGGACCCCAGGTGCAACTGCGCAAGGATTGTCGAAACTTAGAAAGAAACTGCATTGTACTTACAGGAATAGAAGTTTCGACTCCATCCTCAGCGTGCTCCTGGGGGCCCAGCGGTTAAGCGTTGAGCTGAAACCTTGGCTCTGATACCAAGTGTCACAGGATCGAATATCCCGAGGAAAGGTTTGCTCAATGTTGCACTATCATTCAGTACAAGGTGCTTTTATACTTCCAGAGTACATCAGGTAACCAGGTTTATCCTATCCAAAGGAAATAGACCCTTCTAGAAATAGAATCACCCTGCGTATAGCCACGCGAGGCTATTGGCTTTAAGGGATTACGGCAGGATTACGCTAGATATAGCGCGCCAGTACATCCCGAGCCTGGTCGGTGATATAATTATAATAACAGGATAAACCAAAGGATAATGGAAAATGAGGAATAGAAAACCAAATGAGATGAGATAAAGACCAAATGAATCAGGATAAAAAGAGGAATGAAAGAGAAAGGAAATATGGAAAGGGGAAATTGGTGTAACGGGGTCGTACGCTCACAACTGGAGTCTAGCAGCGCTGGAATTCGATCTCAAGTAGATCCGAGCAGGCGGCGTGCGGCTTGTAACAGGAGAACTCGATCCCACAGCCCCAGTAATAACCTACCGTATTCTCCTGGATATCGTACCCTAGGGGGCTAATAAAAATTCATGAAAATTTTGGGGTGGGTGGAATTAAAGGCAAAAAATATATAAGACCATGGTTCTATGGAACGTGCATATGCGTTTTTCAATTCCAAAATAGTTGTGCATGTTACACCACTTTGTTTTGTGTTACATGTCAACATCTCGTGTCCTCATCGCGTACCCTACAGTGTGGCCCTTATTCTTGCCACATCGTCAGCTAAACTAGTCAAGTCAAGGACGGGGCTGGCAAATCAGTCAATCGACGAGTGCTGCAGGCCTCGTCCTTACTGCCTCCAATCAGTGGGCGGCAGCGGAGGTTTGTTTTGGCGGGAGGGCGCGAGAGTTGAGAATGAACAATTTGGATTTTGAGGTTTCGACTTTTTTTTTTCTTTTTTTTTTTTCTTTTTCCGTTCCGACACATTCGGGTTGACCAGCAGCTCGTTTCCCCCACTCGCCCTCATGTTTACGCACGCAACTATGCACAGCAAATTCTGTTGTTCCCTGTCGAAATAAGGATTCTAAGTGGCGGGGGGTGTTCAATTGTTTTCAAGCCCAAAAGTAGGGTGGTAACAAGATCCAGTTTAATGAAACACCCATACCCGCTCAAACCACCCATGGGAGCTTAATTCCGGCGGGTACTGTATCCGGGAGAATACGGTACCAGAGGCGTAAGGGACATTAAGGGGGGAAGAAAGGCAATGAGGAAGGATAGGTGGAGTAAATGGGAGAGAAGGGAGAAGCATGACACGACAGTGGGAAGTGGGTTGGAGAAACCGCAACAAGATGTTTGCTGTGAGTCAGGCAATGGGAAATCGACTGGGAAATGACATACGGGAAAATGACTGGGAAATGACAACGGGGAAAATGGGTGGGAAATTACAGATAGGAAAATGACTGGAAAACGACAGATGGGAAAATGGATGGGAAATGACAACTGCGAAAAACGCTGGGGAATTACAGATGGGAAAATGACTGGGAAATGACAATGGGCAAAATGGATGGGAAATGACAACTGAGAAAAAGGCCGGGAAATGACAGATGGGAAAATGACTGGGAATAAACAGATGGGGAAAACGACAATGGGATGGCTGCCATAGCAACTGCTGGATCTCCAACTTGTGAATCAACTCACACAGCTCCACGCCTTCCCCTCCTCCCTGCTCCACTCCTCCCTCCCTCTCCCCCACCCTTCCACTCACACATTTAATGCTCCCACACTCACTTGACAATGCAAGATACCACACATGGTCTTTATAATTTGAATCGTTACAAGATGCTAACAACAAACTACACTACACTAGAAACAGAATAATTAGCAATAATTAGAGAATCTAGTGTGATGCAGAAGATCCAGTGCTGTCCCAATTCCTCCACATCCCATTGACCACACTCCAGCAGTCCACATTCTTCCGCCTCTCCTCCCATCTCTCCCACAACACCCTGCGAGCAGGGTGGAAAAAGGGGTACGACCCTCCATTCACCTGCCACTAGCCCCCACCAAACAAGCCCCATGCCCATCTAACCGCTTCAAATGACCTTCCACCCTCCATGACCGACTGCTGAGGCACTGGATCCGCCTGATGCTTTGCACCTTCACTAGACTGCCACAGCTGCTGCTGCTAATCTTGACGCAGGCTTGGGAATTCCCGAAGCAGGCTTGGGATGTCCAGACGCAGGCTTGGGAATCGCAGACGCACGCTTGGGTATTCCAGCCGCAGGCTTAGGAATCCCAGGCGCCGGCTTGGGAATTCCAGACGCATTTTTTGCCACTGCACTCACCACACCCTTGGCTGCTGCCTTCCCACTGCTGCTCGGTTCAGCCGTCACCCCTGCAGTAGGTGCAGTCTTCACAGCTGCACTCATCCCAGCACCGACCTAAACCACAGCAGCTTTCGCAACAGCAGCAGCCTTTGCTGCACCATCCTTCCCAGCAGGTTTCGCAGGCGTCGCCTTTGCTGGCGTCGCCGTAGCTTGCGTCACCTTAGCTGGCATCGCCTTAGCGTGCGTCGCCTTAGCTGGCGTCACCTTAGCTGGTGCCATCTTAGCTTGCGTCGCCTTAGCTGGTGTCGCCTTAGCTTGCGTCGCCTTAGCTTGAGTCGCCTTTAACTGGTGCAGCAGCAGACATCGCCTTAGCTTGTGTCGCGTTAGCAGGCGCGGCCTTAGCTGGCATGGCCTTGACTGCTGCAGCTGCCGCCGTCGCCTGGCCGCTCTTCACCGCGTTGGATCTCATAGCAGCCGCGCTTCACATCACATCCCTGGGCCTGGGCTACTTGCTCGCCGGCTTTGCCACGGCCTTGGGTCGCAGGGGGGAGAAGCCCAGCGAGGCACGGGGGGAGCTGTGCTTCGGCCCCTCCTCCTTATCGTGGAAGCGGCCCATGTGAAACGCAATCAAGGTCAGCCACACCTTTCGCGCTGTGCTCATGCTCGTGGATGCACTGTTCGCCCGTCTTGAGTAGCTGCTAATGCTGCGGATCGCCACGCTATCGAGCGCAGGGCTGGCAGATCCCAGGTGAGAAGCGGCAATAAGAGAGGCCATCAAGGGAGCGAGATTCTAAGCAGAAAAGCCAGTCGAAGTCTTACAAAGCGAGAAGCAGATTGCTGGAGAACTAAGAACGAACGGGAGTGTTGTGGTGGTAGGAATGAGGAAGAGGTTTGGCTTTGTAGTGTTGGGAGGGAGGAGAGTCCCAAGGCGGAGGGAGGTGGGTGGAGAAAAGCAACCCTGGTGCTCAGGGAGGAAGCAAGCCAGCTGCCCGAAAACAAAAACTCATTGCGTAAGCGCAGAATCCACGGACAGCTCGATCAGCCCGAACAAAAAAAATCCACTTCCATTCCGTAAAGCTGAATTGTATTGTGGCTGGAACCGAAATTACGGAAAGCTCCAGCAGCCAAAGACATGCTGCCCGATGTTTTGGCTCCACCTCAAAGTTTGCTGCCGGATAATGCAGTGGCTCGTTTGTCTCAATGACGGAACTTTTGGGCAGCGAGCTCATGAATTATCGCTGCCTAAAACGAGATTGCATCGCGTTTCCCTCTAGTCCGGCCGCTGCCCGAGAAGAACGAAGCGGTTTGTTTACGAAAACGATGTCTACCTGCGGTTGATTGGACGACGAGGAAAATGAGCGAACTTGCTGTCATGAGATGAGCTCGAGGCTGCTAAAGGGTGGTTATGTTCCGTCATTGTCAGTAGACGGGAATATCAGGTTCACAGCGGCGGGCGACCACAAGAGTCGGAACACATCGCATCGCAAGGTGACGGCGGGACTGTTATGGCTCACTGGTTACAAGCTCTGATAAGCATCACAAGCTTACATGAACTGTTTGTTAGGATTAAGGACGGATTCTAGGTGAACTTAGGAGCTAGAATTACTCAAAATATAAATCCGAAATTCTGGACAGAAAAGTCGTCTTCACAAGAAACGACGTCGACGAAACACTAGCCGTTGGAATATCGCGAAATTTAGAGATGTTGTAGCTCTTAATCTCAGCTACCGTTCCCAATTTGAATCACGTTGATTGATGAAGTATTCACGACGCTATGGCTTTCGACGCACTAGGGGGTAAGCTGTAGGAGGAGAACTTAACTCAATCTCAAGAGTTCAATCAAAGTTCAAGAATCTCACAAGGAATTAGAGGAGCAAGAGAAAGGTTGGGATGGAGGAAAGGGATGAGAGGGAAGGTCCCAAGAGAGTCCCCAACCAAGGAAACCCCATAAGCACAAAGATTCCCTCCCTATAGGAACCCCAAATTTGACCTTTGTCCCTTCCCAACCAATCCATCCAAGTTAGCCACCCTTGCCAACCTAGCTTGGTTGTTCCCAACCAATTTGCAGTTACAGTAGAGTGACGAATTTCCCCAACCCCGAAGGTCCCAAGTCCATATAGAGTCACCCCACAACTTCACTTTGTAACCGCCGCAATTGTAACGCAAGCTCATGAACTTTGAATCTTCATAGCTTTCGCGTTCTTGCTCCGATTGAAGCGATTCTTGTTGCGTCGGAAAGATCTTCTCAAGATCTATCATCACAAAATGTCTGCTCAAACAAAATAACACAAAACACATTCCCAAACTCCAGAACACACACCACACAAATTCTTTCACACACAGTCAAACCATATATGCGAATTGAAACAAGGGATGTGAGGCAGACAGAATGTGATAGCATATGATGACATCACACAACAATCTCCCCCTCTGGCTGCCAACCATCATCCACCATACCAACATCTCAAGCATGCATATTCAATGCACACTCATCCCAGCAAGCTTCATGCTCTTCCAATGATCCGCCTCCGCCAGACGCTTAGTGAAAATATCTGCTGCCTGCTGATGGTTCTTCACTATCTCCAGCCGCACCTCCTTATCAAGGAGTTTTCTCACCCAATGCCACTTAGGCCTTATGTGTTTTGTCAGCCCATGCAGACAAGCATTCTTGGCGAGCTTCACAGCAGACTCATTGTCACAAAACACAACTGTCGGCTCCTCCTGACCAACTCCCAACTCCTCCAACAAACGCCTCAGCCACACCACTTCCTTGGCCCCATGGTGTAAGGCCATGTACTCAGTCTCACATGAGGACAATTCCATCTCATTCTGCTTCTTGCTGCGCGAGCTCACAGCACCACCTCCTAGCAAGCACACATAACCCCCAATGCTGGTGCCATCCGCTTTCACTGAGTTGAAGCTAGCGTCAGTATAACAACTCAAGAGCATCTCTCCACTCTTCACATCTGCAGAACCTCTCTGTAACCGCTGCCTCACTCCACTGTACTCCAATCCCACTGATGCCGTAGCGCTCACATAGCGGACCAACCTCTTGGCCGCTTCCAGCTGCTCATGACTAGGGCGTGAGACCACACTAGCCAGCTGTGATGTAGCAAATGCAATGTCAGGCCGTGTATGATTTGCAGAATAATTCAGCGACCCAACCATCGAATGAAACAGCTTCCTGTCACTCTCACCCACTATCTCCTCATCAGCACATGGCTCCACAGTAAACCCCGAAGGTAGTGGTGTTGCTGGCTTTCCTCCATCTTGCAGCCCATACTTCTCAGCCAGCCCGTCACAGTACTTCCTTTGGTGCAACCTCAGCACACCCTTTTCCACATCTCTCTTCACATGCATCTCCAGGTAGTACTTCACCTCACCCATCTTGGAACACTTGAACTGCATCTCCAGCATCTGCTCTGCGCTGTCCAGCAAAGCAGTTGATGCAGAAAAGAGAAGGATATCATCCACATACACCAAGAGCATGAGGATTTCATCCTTCTCCTGCAACAGGAACAGACTGGGGTCACACTCACTCTTCTTGAAACCCCCAGCCAACAACGCCTCCTCCAACTTGTGATACCATGCACGAGGCGCCTGTTTAAGGCCATAGATGGCCTTATTCAGCCTGCAGACCCTGCCGCTCCCATCATCCAGCCCCTCTAGCTGCTTCATGTACACCTCCTCCAGAATGATCCCATTCAGAAAGGCAGTCACAATGTCCATCTGCCGAATCTTCCATCCGAGGAGTGCAGCTATCGCCAACAGCACCCTTAGTGTTGTTCCTTTCCCCACAGGAGCAAACACCTCATCATAGTCCTTCCCCTTTGTCTGCTGAAACCCCTGTGCCACAAGCCTAGACTTTTTGCTGGTCAGCTCCCCTTCAGGTCCATACTTGTGCCTGTAGATCATCTTGGAAGTGATTGCCTTCTTCCCAGGAGGCAAGTCACACAGGTCCCATGTCTCGTTCTCAATCAGGGACCCGAACTCCTCATCCTCACTCGCCTTCCACTTCTCCCCATTTGGTCCATTCAAGGCCTCCTCTCGAGTCTCGGGCTCAGGGATTGGTGCCCAGTAGCAGTGAGCGATCTCATCTTCCTCAATCTGCTCAACCACACTCCCAGCCTGCACCACATTCGGCTTGCCTCTTCCCCCATAGGTCAGCCTCACCGGAGGGCGCACATCCCTCCTAGGTCGCTCAGGCGGGTGTGGAACTCGAGGAGGAGACTCACGCTGCTGCTGCTGCTGCTCCACTTCAGCTGCTCCCCCTTCCTCAGTCACCCCAGACATCTCCTCCTCAGACACTGCAACCTCCGCCTGTCTTGAAGGCTGCTGCACCTCATCTGCCTCCACAATGAGCGGTGTAGATGGAAGCTTCTGTTGCTGCTGCTTCCATTCTTTGTAGTACAGGGACTCAAGAAACATCAGATCCCTTGACACAGTCAGCTTCTGGGTGGTCAAGTCCCATAGCAGCCACCCCTTGTGATCCTTTGCAATCCCCAAGTGCACACCCCATCTTCCAGAAGCCTCCAACTTCTCCCTTTTCTCCTTGGGCACATGAAACACCACCATGCACCCAAATGCCCTCAGCATGTTCACAGCTGGAGCACTCCCATACCACTTGACATATGGGATCCACTCCTTATCCCCAACTGTAGCCAGCACCCTGTTCTTCACAAGGGCGACCTGCCTCAGTGGAGACACCCAAAACGGATCAGGCAGCCCTGCACGCCCAAGGAGAGTGCGTGCCCCCTCCTGCAGGGTCCTGTTGAACCTCTCAGCCACACCATTCTGCTGCGGGTTATAGGGCACTGTCAGTTGATGCTGGATCCCTTTCCTCTTCAACTCCCCCTCAAAATCAGCTCCAATGAACTCCCCACCATTGTCACTGCGGATCACCTTCACCTTGTGTCCGCATTCCCTCTGAGCTCTAGGCATCCACTCCTTAAGGACAGCCGCTGCCACCTCCCCCTTGCTCTTCAAAGGGTAAACCCACACTGCCCGAGTGTGGTCATCCACTCTTGTCAAGAAATAGCGGCTGCCTGAGAGGGAAAGGGCTCTTGTGGGCCCCACCACATCCATGTGCACAAGTGCGAGTGGGGGCTTGGCTGGTCCTGTAGTGCTGTTGAAAGGGAACTTGGAGTACTTGGTCTCCAAGCATGTAGGGCAGCTCCCAATCTCCTTCACTCCCCCTTTGACCTCCAATCCTTTCAGGCTCCCATCCTTCACCAACTTCTGCAGCATAGGGAAGTTCACATGACACAGCCTCTCATGCCATGTCTCCCAATCGGCCTCACCACTCCTAGATGAAGCCTTGGCCCATGCCGCGCTCGCATCCACACCAGCAAGCACCTTGCCATGTGTCTGCTGCTGCTGCACTTTCTTGACTGCTTCCAGGACCCCATCAGTTGGTGCAGTTGCATCTCCTCCTGCTGTTGCCTTTGCCGCTGCTGCCGTTGCTGCTGTTGGAGTCTTCCCATTCCAAGGGATGATGGGCAGCTGCCATAGGTCCTTGATGCAGCTGGTCTCCTCTTCCAAACTCCACAGCACCTTCTTCCCAAGCTTAGCACGGCAGCTGGTTGGTCCAAAGGTCACTTCGGCCTTGCTCTTCTGCAGTCGCCGCACAGAGAGAAGGTTAGCAGACAAGCCTTCAACCAGCAGAACATTCCCAAGCCCCACAAGCTCCCCATTAGCTCCCTTAACCTTGGCATTCCCAACACCAATGACAGGGAGCAAAGCACCTGACGCTGCTGCCCCATACTTAATCTTCCCAGGGGGTTTTACCTCGTCAAGCAAATCTGTCCGTGGGGTCATGTGACTGGTGTAACCTAAATCAATCACCCAGTGCGTGAGAGGGTGCATCACAACCTTTCCCACAGATCCCATATCACCCTCATGCCCATGCACATCCTCAACCATAAGAAACAAACCAGGATAGGCATTACCTTGTGCACCTTCACCTTGTGCACCTGAGCCTTGCACAGCGCCACCTTGTGCGCGTTCACCACTGGGCGGCTTCATGCCTGGAGGTGCCCATCCCTCCGGCCTGCCGAAGCACTTGAACCAAGGATGCCCGACCTTCTTGCAGTACCAGCAGGTGCCCTCCATTCTGGTACTCCCCCTGCCACTGGAGCTCCCATGCCCCTCATTATAGTCACCTCGGCCTCTACCTCTGCCAAAGCTCCTCCCACGGCCTCGGCCTCTCCAACCCCCTCTTCCTCTGCCACGCCCTACAGCTCCATACCCCTCAGCAGTCTTAGTGGAAGCACCACCTCCCACATGGCATCTGCGGAAGTCCTCCTGCAGAATCTGCTGCCTTAGCCACTCAGATGTCCATTGATCTTGCTGAGAGTTGAGGGTGGGGATGAGGTTGTCCCAAGAGTTGTCCAACACCGAGATGATCTTGGTGCACTGCTGCAGCTGAGGTACACTGCTGCCCGCTGCTGCCATCCTTGCATAGCAATCCTTGATCTTGTCAAGGACTAGCTTCACATCGTCCCCTCGTCGCATGGAGATGGCAGCAAGTTCCTTCTCGAGCACGATCACCATTGGGAGAGTGTTGGGCTGAATCACATCGCGTAGTAGTTTCCACGCCCTTGGACCCGAATCATCCGCTTCCACAAGATCCTTGATGTGCTCGAACATCTCCTTGTTGACCGATTGAAGGATGAGGTCGAAAAGCACCGCGCTTTTCTCAATCCACCGTTCGCGTGCTTCGCCTTCCTCGGGCATCTTCTCCTCCCCAACAGCAATCTTCAGTAGCTTGTAGCGTTTGAATGCACTCCTCATCCGCCCGCTCCATTCCTCATAGTTGGAGCCATCCAAAGCTTCAACTTTTGATGGCGGCGGCTCACTTGTCTTCTCAGGTACAGCTCCTCTTCCATTAGCATCTCCTCCTCTCTCATTCATCTTCTCCTTGAGAAATGACGAATTTCAGCTCCCCTTTGCTGTCCACACTCAGCTCCCTCGGTATTTTCACAAGTGTCGGCGTCCACGAAATTTCGGCAGAGTTTACCCTTAGCGGAAGACACATCCAACCTTTAGAACACCACTTAGGCACACCCACAGGCCATGGTGGGTCTACAAGGGTCTTCAAACTTCTGTAGACTCCTCTCAATGTCCTTAATATCGCTCTGCTACCACTTGTTAGGATTAAGGACGGAGTCTAGGTGAAATTAGGAGCTAGAATTACTCAAAATATAAATCCGAAATTCTGGTCAGAAAAGTCGTCTTCACAAGAAACGACGTCGACGAAACACTAGCCGTTGGAATATCGCGAAATTTAGAGATGTTGTAGCTCTTAATTTCAGCTACCGTTCCCAATTTGAATCACGTTGATTGATGAAGTATTCACGACGCTATGGCTTTCGACGCACTAGGGGGTAAGCTGTAGGAGGAGAACTTAACTCAATCTCAAGAGTTCAATCAAAGTTCAAGAATCTCACAAGGAATTAGAGGAGCAAGAGAAAGGTTGGAATAGAAGAGAGGGATGAGAGGGAAGGTCCCAAGAGAGTCCCCAACCAAGGAAACCCCATAAGCACAAAGATTCCCTCCCTATAGGAACCCCAAATTTGACCTTTGTCCCTTCCCAACCAATCCATCCAAGTTAGCCACCCTTGCCAACCTAGCTTGGTTGTTCCCAACCAATTTGCAGCTGTTACAGTAGAGTGACGAATTTCCCCAACCCCAAAGGTCCCAATTCCATATAGAGTCACCCCACAACTTCACTTTGTAACCGCCGCAATTGTAACGCAAGCTCATGAACTTTGAATCTTCATAGCTTTCGCGTTCTTGCTCCGATTGAAGCGATTCTTGTTGCGTCGGAAAGATCTTCTCAAGATCTATCATCACAAAAAACCTGCTCAAACAAAATAACACAAAACACATTCCCAAACTCCAGAACACACACCACACAAATTCTTTCACACACAGTCAAACCATACATGCGAATTGAAACAAGGGATGGGAGGCAGACAGAATGTGATAGCATATGATGACATCACACAACACAGTTACAAATTTCAAGTTACATATCGCGCTGCCAACAACGAGCGTCACGAACGGGGGAATATCGGAGGTCCGACCGTTTGAACTAGGAACCCTAGGGAACTACTTCTCATGGAACTAGAATTCGACCTGTTTGTTAAGACTAGAAATAATGAATAGAAGAAAGGAGAACAGGGGAGATATAGCATTTGGGTTGTACCCACTTAGAACATTCCCTATCTAACCTATAACTTCTACATAACAATATAAGCATAAGTTGACACATCCCCTAGGCTAGATAAGGGGTAGTGCTGAGCAAGAAACACGCAGCTCAAGGTGGCACTACTAGTCCAACCTCTGAGGCAGGGGCCAAAAGACAAGTCACCAAGAGTACAAGCAAGACAGAGCAAACCACAGCGGCACTACTAGTCCAACCACTGGAGGAAAAGCCACAAGGTAAGTCAGCAAGGTATAAATACAAAGTTTTACACAATCAAGGGCCTCGCAAGTGAGAGTCAACAGGGACTAGACCTAACTGCAAGCAGTGCCGCTGATGATCTCTAGGCGGAAGCGCCTTAGTAAAGATATCAGCTGTGTTGGCACCCGAGGCCATGTGTACTACGCGGGCCTGGCGACGCTGCTGAAGCTCGCGCAGGAGGAAGTACCGCAGCTGGATGTGCTTCGCTCTGCCCTCAAGTCGAGGCTCCTGACACAGGAGGATTATGGCCCTGTTGTCAGCGTACAGAACCGGGGCAGAGCAAGGCTGCTCACCTAAGCCGGCAAGCAAGAAGGTCAGCCAGCAGAGCTCCTCTGCCGCCATGGCACCGACGTAGATCTCAGCCTCGCAGCTAGACTGAGCAACAAACGAGGAGCGAGTGGACCTCCACGAGATGGCACCAGAACCAAGGCTGAAGGAGTAGCCCTGGGAGGACCGGAGGGTCTCAGCGTCGTCTGCCCAAAAGGCGTCTGTGTGCCCAGTAAGGACCACCGGCCTGCATCCTCCCAGCACTAGCCCCATGCCCGATATACTTGCAAGATAACACAAAACACTCTAAGCGGCCGACCAGTGCTGTGGTTAGTGTCTGCCTGTGACCACAAAGCGGGCCAGGATGCTGAAAGGGTATGCGAGATCTGGGAGAGTGAAATCATCAGGTACATGAGGCAACCCACCAGCTCTGTGCAAGGGCCACTGGGCTCTGCTGACTCCTCGGGAACTGGAGCTGAGAGCCTGTGGTCTACCGGCAGAGGTGTGGGATGTGCGGAGTAGAACTGAAGACCGAAACTCTGAATGGCCTGGCGCATCAAGTGTGACTGTGTAAGAGTGATGGTGCACGTTGCTCTGTCCCTGGAGATCTGCAGGCCAAGGTAGCGGCGCAGCTCTCCCAGGTCAGTGCAGGTGTGTTGCCTCAGCAGCTCAGCCTTCACGGAGGCCAGCGCGTCTCTGTGTGCTGTAGCAAAGACTAGGTCGTCTACGTAGACCAGGATGTAGAACGGAGTCTGGCCAGCACGAACGAAGAGCGATGGGTCAGCAGAGGACGGAAAGAACGCAGCGTGTCATGCAACTCACGGGACGCCTGTCGGAAGCCATAGACGGGGCACTGGAGGAGCCACTGAGTCCGAGGAGGGAAAGTATCGGTGAAGCCCTGAGGGCAGCGCAAGTAGACCTGCTCGTGTAGGCTGACCTGCAGGAAAGTAAGTGAGAATTCGACGGAGTGAAGCTTGTAGTCACGCTGTGCTGCTACGTGTAGCAGCGCCCGAAGAGTAGTCATCTTCGGGGTCGGGGCGAAGGTCTGAAAGAAATCCACCCCCTCTTGCTGACTGAAGCCTCTAGCCACATAGCGCGCCTTGAACACAGGCGGCTCTCCAGGGGGGCGCTTCACCTTGAAGAGCCAACGGCGATCGACTACGTTCACCCTTGGTGGGGGAACTGCGTCGACGTAGGTGCCGATAGCCCTCCAAGATGCCATCTCCTGCTCCATGGCAGCTACACAGTGAGAGGCCTAGGGTCCCGAGGTCATCTCAGCGTAGGTGCGAGGGGTCGGGATGTCAAAGGTGTCGGGGTCACCCTCAGGGACTAGCAACATGAAACAAAGATGGGGAGCAGCCTCTGACAGGAACGCAAGCTCGTATTGCCGGTCCTCCAAGACGTCAATGCCGAGGGCAGGAGCACCCCCGACGGAAGGAGGATAGACAGGGTCAGAGACCAGAGCGGTAGCGAAGTCAAGGCGGCGAGTAGAGGCAAACTCGGCGACAGCAGCTACATGAGCATCAAGAGTGGAGACAGAACAGACGGGTCGGTAACGAGGGAGGCAAGGACCCGAGGAATAAGAGGACGAGCTGCACGAAGGTAGTCAAAGAGAGGTGGAGGCACGACACTGAGCAACAACGGAGGAGGCGAAGGCAAACGGGGAGGACGAGACGCGTGGGAACGAAGCAACATAGGGAGAGAACGCTGAACAGGAGAGACAGGACGAGCACGAGAGGGACGGCAAGACCAGACGTGAGACGGAGGCGTTGGGTCAGGAGACAGAGGAGGAGTTACAGGAGAGGAACGAGAGGGGAAACGAGCTCGGGACGAGTCCGGCGGAGGAAACACAGGACCGTGAACAGGAAAAGGGGAGACGGCGAGGGAGCTTGTCCATGCCAAAGGCACGAACGTGAGCGAGGCAGCCCCAGACGTGGAACGCAGACGCGTCACCAGGGAACCCGGTCCAAAGAAGGGTCGGCGAAACCTGCAGCCGCTGAGAGCGAGGCCAGAGGTTAAGTTGGTGAGTGGCCTAGCGAACGGCGAACGGCCACAGAAAATGGGGTGCACCGGCATGGATCATGGAGGTTTGAGCCACCTCCATGACCAAACCGATGCGTCGCTCAGCGACCCCATTCTGCTGCGGGGAGTCTGGTAGGGTGTACGTCTGGGTGATATCCTCCGCACGACAAAACTGAACCAGCCGACCAGAGGCGAACTCTCCGCCACGGTCGAAGTGGAGACACAGCACAGGGAGACCACGGTGGAGGCGCGCAGCGACGAGCCACGGGATAAGAACATCAGGCACGTCGGCCTTCCGCTCCAGGGGAAACACCGTGGTGTAGCGCGTGAAGTCGTCAACGAGCACGAGAAAAGCGCTCGCGACGCGGTCCAGGGACAGGGGTTGGGCCCCAGACGTCCAAGTGCAGGGTCTGAAGGGGTGCAGTGGCAAGGCGAAGTGAGGAGGAGTGAGGAGCACGGCGCAGCCGGCCCTCGATGCAGGGCGTGCACGGCGGCACTGGCAAGGGAGGGAGGGCAGGGAGCGACGCAGGGAGGCCGAGGACTAGACCTTGTTGAGACATGTGACGCAGGCGGGGGAGCGCGGGGTGACCTAGGCGGTGGTGCCACAACAGTGATGCGTGAGTGAGTGACCGACACGAGCAGGCCGCAGCTACCTGGGTGGACGCAGAACCGGAGGAGGACTCGCCCGCCGGGGGGGGAGGGGAACAGTGTCCAGCGTAAACAGGCTAGACACAGGGTCCCGGGGGAACGTCGCAAGGGGGGCACCTGAGGCGGCCTCGGAACAGACCGCGTACCGCTCGTGACCAGGGAACGTAGTGGTGAAGGCGAGGTCCTGAAGACAGCCGACGTCAACGAAGTTCCTGAAGAACGAAGGGATGTGCAGGCCTGTAAGGGAACCCGAGGGAACCGCCGGACAGGGAAGGGTAGTGTAGCTGCGAGCAACTAAAGGACTAGAGGAGGGGTCTGCAAGGGCGACAGCGGCAGGCGCAGTAAGCGGCGTGAGGGCAGCATGGTCGCGGAAGAAGCAGGGTGACGCACCGGAGTCTAGAGTGAAGGACAGCGACGCTGTAGTGGCCGACGACGGAGGAGGAATGGTAGAGCCTAGGCTAGACAAAGCAAGCTGTCCTATGCCTAATGCAGCAGGGGAGTCCGGACTACACACAGGTGCTACGCCTAAGCTAGAGAACACAGAGTAATACGGTCCGGAAACACTCGAAGCGTCACCATACAGAGAATGCAAGGCATAACTAATCTGATGCATGTCCAAGTCAAACACATGCACACCGTGGCGCAGCAGGTTGGGCCAGTCAGGGAGGTCCGGGGCGGGACCAAAGCGGTGACGGAAGAGGTCGTCGAGGCGGCGGAAGCAGCGGGCGGTGGGGTGCGAGCGGCGGCACACCGTACCACGCAGGGGCCCGGTCTGAAGCTGGTACTGGCATCTCACAGCACCGAAGCTGCCGGTGGACGCCGAGCTGCGAGGGCCACCACCACGACCACCACCTCCAGGGGCTCCTGGCCACCCGGGCGGGAGATGAGCCCACGGCTGCTGCTGCGGCTGCTGCTGCTGCGACTGATTCTGCTGCGGCTGCTGCTGCTGCGGCTGCTGTTGCTGCTACTGTGACGGCTGCTGCTGCTGCGACGGCTGTGACTGCGGCGACTAGTGCTGCTCCTGGGCACCAGCACCAACCCCCTTGTCAGAACCACTGTCCCTGCCACCACCACCACTAGCGCCACCTCCACGTCCTCCCTTGGGGCAACGGCGGCCCCGGCGCTGGCGCTGCTGAGGGGTAGGCGCAGCTGATGTCTCAGGTGCAGGCGCAGTCGTGACAACTGCGGTGGAGATGTCAGCGTACGTGCATTGGGAGGGAGTAGAGCCCTGAAAGATAGGGACTGCCGCAACACCGCTCGATTGAGCGATAGTGCGCTGGCGAGTCTCTATCTCAGACAGCGTAGTGACAAAGGCGGTCAGGGTGAGGTCGGCAGGGTGCTGACTAAGGAAGTGGTCGCGGGCAGTGGCTAAGCGGCCAGGCAGGCGCATGACGATGAGGTACAGGGTAGCACAGAAAGGTGGGGGGAAGGCAGTAAGCTGGGCGGCAGAGCTAGCAGCGCGGTAGCTGGTCTTTAGTGCACGGAGGTGAGTAGCGAGGTCAGCTACCGTGGGGAAAGCAGAAAGATCAGGGAAGAGCATGGGTAGGATCAAGCGGCCAGCAGAGGCAGAAGCAGGTGTGGAATAACGCTTAACTACTGCAGCGAGAAAGTCCTTGGCGTTCGCGACAGCGGTAAAGCGCGGACGCTCAGACAAGGGAAGGCCATGGCTAATGGCAAGCTGCGCTGCTGCGTTACGAGAATCCCAAACACCTCGAGCAAGCGCAGCAGTAGCAAAAGCCTCGCTCTTAGCAGTGAGGGGATCAGGCGCAGGGGGGCGGGGAAGCAAACCATCAACATGCATAGCCAGGGAGTGCCCATCCTGGCGCTGACCTGTCAGGTGCCGGCGGAGGTCGACGAGCCAGGCGGCGAAGTCGATTGCGTGCCCCTCAGCATCCAAGCGAAGAACGGCGTCCGCCATTGCACAGTGTGACAGCGACACAGCGGCTCTGCGGCGCAGCGACTCGGCGGCTCGGCGGCGCGGCGGCTCGGGGACACGGCGGCTCGGCGGCTCGGTGGCTCAGGCGACGAGGCCGGCTAGAGCGCAAGAGGCCAGCTAGGGCGAGCGGAGCCGGCAAGGGCGCGTGGGGACGGCTAGGGACGCGGGGAGGGGGGCGGTAGGAGCACGAGGGGCCGTAGGGGCGCGAGGGGCCGGCTAGGGGCGCGAGGGGTCAGTAGGGGCGCGACGGGGCCGTCTTGGGGCGCAAGGGGCCGGTAGAGGCGCGACAGGGCGAGGTAGGGGCGCGAGGGGCCGTAGTGGCGTGCGGGGCCGGCTAGGGGCGCAAGGGGCCGGTAGGGGCGTGACGGGTCCGGCTAGGGGCGCGACAGGGCCGTAGGAGTGCGACGGGGCTGGAAGGGGCGCGACGGGGCCGGCTGGGGGCGCGACGGGGCCGTAGGGGCGCGACAGGGCCGTAGGGGCGCGACGGGGCCATAGGGGCGCGACGGGGCTAGCTAGGGGCGCAACGGGGCCGACTAGGGGCGCGAGGGGCCGTAGGGGCGCGACGGGGCCTGCTGGGGGCGCGACGGGGCCGTAGGGGCGCGACGGGGCCTTAGGGGCGCGACGGGGCCTGCTAGGGGCGTGACGGGGCCGTAGGGGCGCGACGGGGCCTTAGGGTCGCGACGGGGCCTGCTAGGGGCGTGACGGGGCCATAGGGGCGCGACGGGACCGTAAGGGCGCGGGGGGGCCTGCTAGGGGCGCGACGTGGCTGTAGGGGCGCTCGGGGCCTGCTAGGGGCACGACGGGGCTGTAGGGGCGCTCGGGGCCAGCTAGGGGCGCGAGGGTCCGGTAGGTGGCGGCAAGGGGCGGATGCGGGTGGGTGGACCTACCTACCCGTGATACCATGTTAAGACTAGAAAGAATGAATAGAAGAAGGGAGAACAGGGGAGATGTAGCGTTTGGGTTGTACCCACTAAGAACATACCCTATCTAGCCTATAACTTCTACATAACAATGTATGGATACGTTGACACTATTGGCTGGGAGGCAGAGCCAAAGCTCGGCCCAAGAAAACGACGAGGATGAAGAGTGAAATAAGAGCAGACTCGTTACGACACGCTATGAAGTTGGTTATTTGTTCTTCTCAATACGAAAAAACGAGAAAGATACAATAGCTTTACAAAAACTCACTTCAATGGAAACCTGAAGCGATCATAAATGGGCCGTAGGATCTTCAGGATTGAATTGTAAATGTAGAGCGCTTTGGGGAGGCATTGATTGGTTGGGAAACCTGTCAGATTTATGAACCAATTGTTCACTTGCCGTGAGTCCAGCACTGCTGCGCCACAGCCCTGTGTAGCTCTCGATGATGGGTACAATCCTAGTATTTCATTCCATCACACCTGTCACTTCTTCTGCCGCTTGGTCTGCTGGTTCCAGTGCCTCTTCCTCTGATTAATGAACCAGTTGTTCACTTGCCGCGAGTCCAACCCCGTCTTACTCATCAGCTGCAGCTTCTCCTGCTCCTGGAGTTTTCAGGTGGAGGTTAGGAGGAAAGAGGGGAGGGGTGTTGCTTCAATTGCATCTAAAAATGGTTCACCGCTACCTGCACGGCACTCCTAATGTAAGTTATGCATCAGTGGTGGAGTCTTTGTTAAATAGCCCACCAGCGGCACCTGCTCCAACAGGTGCAGCGTTCCTCCAGCTACTCATGTGGAGCTGCATCTGCCCATCAACTGTGGTTTACATGTGGTTTAGATGGGGAAAAGAGAAGGCTGAGGAAGATGAGTCCTCTGCTGTTTCAGCCCCCTCATGTGCTGAGGAAGAAATGGGTGCTTGCTTCCATAAATTGTCTTGTTCATGATTCAAAAGCACTAAAACCAACAAGTTGGTTAATACAACTAATTGTTCTCAGCGAAACACACTCTCAACGTGGTTTTTCTTCCTTTGTGTGTGTGTTGCCCCCCTCCACACCAAAATGCAGTACGGAAGGGCGTCTGCACTTTTCAGCAAAGTACTGTGTGCGCGTCTGGCTGTGTAGCATACCATGTGTGCATCTACTAGTTCAAACGTAGTGCACCACATGCACTCACAGTGGGATACGCCCAGTTCATATGACCATCCCACCAGCCCAGCGGTTTCCCCGTGGCCTCATCCGGCAGCTCCCCTTTTCCGCGCTTCACCACGTGCTGTGCGCTCACTATCATTGTGCTTCACCACGTGCTGTGCGCTCACTATCATTGTGCTTCACCACGTGCTGTGCGCTCACTATCATTGTGCTTCACCACGTGCTGTGCGCTCACTATCATTGTGCTTCACACCACTACTCACAGGGGGGTAAGGCCAGGTGATGTGGTCGTTCCACCGCCCCAGCAGATTCCCTGTGGCCTCATCCGGCAGCTCCCCTTTTACGTGCTTCACCACGTGCTGTGCGCTCACTATCATTGTGCTTCACCACGTGCTGTGCGCTCACTATCATTGTGCTTCACCACGTGCTGTGCGCTCACTATCATTGTGCTTCACCACGTGCTGTGCGCTCACTATCATTGTGCTTCACCACATGCTGTGCGCTCACTATCATTGTGCTTCCCCACGTGCTGTGCGCTCACTATCATTGTGCTTCACCACGTGCTGTGCGCTCACTATCATTGTGCTTCACACCACTACTCACAGGGGGGTAAGGCCAGGTGATGTGGTCGTTCCACCGCCCCAGCAGATTCCCTGTGGCCTCATCTGGTAGCTTGCGTCATTTCGCACGGTTGAAAGTTGATAGAATCACCTTTCATTTCAAGTGCTGCACCACATGATGTGCATTGTGCACTCACCGTGGCGCACAGTATGGGGTACGGGGTATCGACAGAGTGGCACACCCACACCTGACACTCTACCTGCCCCATGCATGCACTCACAGTGGGATACGGCCAGTTGATATGACTATCTCACCAGCCCAGCAGTTTCCCCTTGGCCTCATCTGGCAGCTTGCCCTTCACGTGCTTCACCACACGCTCTCCACTCAATGTGATGGAAGATCATGGCACATGCACACCTGACAGCGTCCACTTACAGTGGGATAAGGCCAGTTGATATGGTCGTTCCACCACGCCAACAACTTCCCCGTGGCCTCATCTGGCAGTTTCCCCTTCACGTGCTTCACCACGTGCTCTGCACTGACCGTCCGCAGGAACCCCCCGAACCGCGCCCGCACCAGCCGTTCGACCTGCTCCATGCTCTCGATGTCCTCCACGCTCTCGCTCAGCGTCAGCCCCATGTCCGGATTCCCACCAAACTCGCTTCCATCGCCTGCCGCCGCCGCTGAAACAGCTGCCTCTGCTTCACCGCCCGACTCAAAACCAGGTTGCTCTTGGCTCCGAAGCACAGGAATCTGGCTTGTGCTGATGTCAGCCATGATGTCATCGTACACGCCCTCTTGTTCCCCTCCCATGAAAGTGTCGCTGCCTCTGCTGGTGCCAGCACCATCACCGCCGCTGCTGCTGCTGCTGGAGGTGCTGCTGCTTTGGGGATCGACGGCAGCAGCAGCAGCAGCAGCAGCAGCAGCCCCATCAGCTGTCGCAGCAGCAGCAGCAGATGTAGCGTCACCAGCATTGGCTGTGAGGCTGCTTTCCACGTGCAGGAGAAATGCCTCAGCCACAGTGTGCGCTGAGAGCAGGCGATCGCGCGATGCCGCCATAGCAGCCGTAAGGGACGCCTGGAAAGGACGGTGGGCGCGTTGGGGAGGAATTGAGGAGGAGTTGAGGAGGAGTGAGTGAGACAGCCTATGATTGTTAACCACGTGGACGTGTGTCAAGCAGCTGCGGTGAGAGATGGGGAGGAGAATGTAGGGGCAATGGAGAGCTGATGGGGAGGGGGATAACACGGCCGCTTGGGTGACTTTTGAGGCGCCTCAAAAGGGAGATAACACGGCCGCTTGGGTGAGCGCCAAGCTGCAGCAACGGAAGGGGAGTGTTAGGCTATTGAGAATTCTCAAAAACCTTACACAACCGAGTTGCAGCAACGGAAGGGGGGGAGAATGTGAGCATAATGAAAAGCTGATAGGAGCAGAGCAGGACAAGATTCGTTCGCACCATGAAATCCCGAACAGCACCCATGTCCTCCCACTCTTCTAGTGCTGCTGCTGACCCTGCGTTTTGAGACAGCGACAGGCCCGGCGACTGGGTCGCGACCTCCCATCCCGGCGATCGGGTTGCGGCGGCTCCCAGGCCCTGCACCTGGACCGGGGCCTCTGCTGCCAATCTTGCTCCGCGCAGCCCCGTGCAGAAGGGTGTCGCCCCTCGAGTCTCCTTTGACAATCCAGCACAGCTGGTCGCCGGGTCGGGAATCGTTTCTGACGAGTCTCTGGTCGTAGGGTCGGAAACCGACAAGGCAAAACTCGTGGGTCTAGCTTGCTCGTTGCTCTTAGCTTGCTCGTTGCTCCTACACGCACCGGGGACGTCCATCGCAGCAGCAGCCCTACGGCTATCATCAAAAGCGCTGCAGCCGGTTTTCTGGCGACCATCACTGCTGTATTTCAGCTGCAGCGCAGCCACAGGATCAAACCCATCAACGGCTGCCAGGAACTCAGGAGACGCTCCAATCTGGCGGGGTGTGAACGGAGAGAAATCATGGGCGGTGGCTCGGGTAACGAAACGAGACGGTAGGCGGAAAAGGGAGAGACGCAGAGTGGGGAAGAGAGAAGGCAAGGGAAAGGGGGAGTAAAAGGAGCAGACGAGAGCGGTAAGAGTAGGAAATTCTCGATGTTGTAAGGGTTCAAGCACACAGCATGATGAGAGGGGTACCATGAGGCGCGCAGCACCACGAGAGGGGTACCTTGAGGCACGCAGCATAGTTGCGCAGCAAGTCTTGGAAGGCGGGTAGATTTAGAAGCCGCAATTTCAGCCTTATGACAGCCGTACGATCATCCGCCGCCTCAGATTCGGCCAAATGCGGCCCTCCCAAACCAGGCTGGTTCGGCCTCTCCATTCGTGCCTGCGCTGGGTCGTCCAACAGCGTCGGCTGTTGCTGTTGGGAAGGCTCTGTTTGCATGCCTCACAGATTCGCCTTTCCTCCGCCTGGCTCAGCCTTCCCTTTCGCTCGAATTCAAATTTAGCGACAAGCTCTTGCTTTATTGTTGCTCCGTCTCAGTCTCCGTCTATTCTTCCGTCTACTGTGCCGTCTCTTCTTCCGTCTATTGTTCCATCTCTTGCTTCGTCTCTTGCTCCGCCTTGTTCCTTCTCACGGGACTTGTTCTCTCTATTCAGAAGAGGAGAGTACAAGGTACAGAACACACTCCTCGTAAATAACTGCGAAACAGAATCTTCAGCCCTCTCTTGGCTTACAGAAGCTTCAGTCCCCTCTTGGCTTACAGAAGCCATACGAACTGCTTCAATCGACCACGTTACGACGATCCGCCGCGTTGCGACGACGCGGCGCGACATAAGAATTGATTTAGTCTACAACGTTACCATCCACCGCGAACAGCGCAGTCGCCAAGGGGCGCGCCGTGGTTACGGCAGCAGCTCACGTCTTCGGCCTCGTTGACTCGCTGAGTCGGGCAAGCGAAAACCAATCTGTGACCGATGCGAGAGGTGCTGGGTGAGGGAGAGGTAAGCAAAAGGCTACTTGCTCTGTGTGAGCCCTCGTTGATGTCGTGACCCCGTGTCCTCGGCAATGGAGTTGTTTCTATACTACAAGGGAGGATTCCAGAACAGTGCTCCAAGCAGCACTTGCATTCAATATATGTTACTATCTCTCAACGAATATGTTTCTTTATGCCCATTATGTATGTACAACTTATGTCACACCTACACGCTTTCAATTATACTTCTAACTTATATAAGCCCCAATGAACTGATTCCACGAGCATAATGCGTTGAAGTATACTCGAGAGAGTTTGCTTAAGCATTCATGATATCATACTTGGACTGTACTGTCAACTTATACATATTATCTATGTAGAAGTTATAGGCTAGACTGAGGTATGCTTCTAGTGAGTACAACCAACTAGTATTTGTTCTAGGTTTCCACCTCTAGTAATCATTCGTTTCTACGTTAACATGGTATCACGCTTAGGTTAGGATCCCCCCGCCTACCGCTTCCGCCCGTCGCGCCTCCTAGGCCCCGTCGCGCCCCCTAGGCCCCGTCGCACCCCCCCTGGGCCCCGTCGCGCTCGTTAGGCCCCGTCGCGCCCCCCCTGGGCCCCGTCGTGCCCGCTGGGCCCCGTCGCGCCTCCTAGGCCCCGTCGCGCTCCCCCTGGGCCCCGTCGCGCCCGCTGGGCCCCGTCGCGACCCCTAGGCCCTAACGCGCCCCCGCTGGGCCCCGTTGCGCCTCCTAGGCCCCGTCGCGCCCCCCATGGGCCCCGTCGAGCCCGCTGAGCCCCGTCGTGCCTCCTAGGCATCGTCGCGCCTCCTAAGCCCCGTCGCGTCCCCCCCCCTCTGGGCCCCGTCGCGCCCGTTCGGCCCCGTCGCGCCCCTCCTAGGCCCTGTCGTGCCCGCTGGGCCCCGTCACGCCTCCTAGGCCCCGTCGCGCCCCCTCTGGGCACCGTCGCGCCCGCTGGGCCCTGTCGCGCCTCCTAGGCCCCGTCGCACCCGCTGGGCCCCTTCGCGCTTCCTAGGCCCCGTCGCGCCTGCTAGGCCCCGTCGCGCCCCCCCTGGGCCCCGTCGCGCCCGTTAGGCCCCGTCGCGGCCCCCTGGGCCCCGTCGTGCCCGCTGGTCCCCGTCGCGCCTCCTCGGCCCCGTCGCGCCCCCCTGGGCCCCGTCGTGCCCGCTGGGCCCCGTCGCGCCCCTTAGGCCTCGTCGCGCCCGCTGGCCCCTGTCGCGCCTGCTGTTAGCGCTCGCCTGCCTGGCCTCCTAGTGCCGCTCGGCCTCCTCCTAGTGCCGCCCGGCCCCTTCCTAGCGCCGCCCGGCCTCTCCTCAGCGCTGCCCGGCCCCTCCTCGTGCCCGACCGGCCCCAGCAGCACCAGCCTGGCCCCTCCCAGCACCAGCCCGGCCCCAGAGCACCTGCCCGCCTCCCCTGCTCGGCCTGCCGTGTCCTCTCGGGCCCTGTGTCTTCTGCTCGCCTGCGCTGGGACGCCTAGCTGCTGCCCTACTGGAGAGTGCTGCCGCCGTGTCCCCGCACCGCTGTGCTCCTGTGCCGCTGAGGAGCTGTGCTGCTGTGCCGCTGTGTCGCTGAGGAGCTGTGCCGCTGACCCTGCACGATGGCTGACTTTGTGCTCCGCCTGGACGCTGAGGGCCACGCGGTTGACTTCGCCGCCTGGCTCTCCGATCTCCGCCGCCAGCTTACAGGTCAGCGCCAGGATGGCCACTCTCTGGTTGTCCATGCTGATGGCTTGCTCCCCCGTCCCCCTGCACCTACTCCCCTCCCTGCTGACCCCTCCTCTGATGACCGTGAGGCTTTCTCTACTGCTGCGCTGGCCTGTGCGGTCTGGGACTCACGCGATGCAGTAGCTCAGGTTGCTATTAGTCACGCCCTCCCTGTGTCTGAGCGCTCGCGTTTTGCTACTGTTGAAACGGCCAAAGCTTATTTAGACGCCGTTATTGCTCGCTATTCCACCCCTGCCTCCGCTTCTGCTGGCCGCTTGCTCTTTCCGATGCTTTTCCCAGACCTGGCTGCCTTCCCTACTGTCGCAGACTTTGCCACTCATTTGCGTGCCCTAGAGACTCGCTATCGCACTGCCAGCACTGCTGCCCAGCTCACTGCGCTCCCCCCTCCTTTCTGCATGACGCTCTATTTTATCGCTATGCGCCTGCCAGACCGCCTCGCTAGTGCTCGCGACCACTTTCTTAGCCAGCACCCGGGTGACCTCACCCTGATCGCCTTTGTCGACACCCTCACTGAGATCGAGACTCGCCAGCGCACTATCGCTCAGTCGAGCGGTGCGCCGGCAGTCTCTATCTTTCACGGCTGTGCCCCATCCCAGTGCACGTTCACTGACGTTTCGGCTGCGGTCGCCACGGCGACCCCTCTTACCGAGACGGCTGCTGCTGTCCACCCGCAGCAGCGCTCGCGTCGCGGTGGCCGTGGCCGCCAGGGAGGTAGGGGTGGTGACGCAGGTGGTAGTGGTCGTGGTGGTGGTGACGGTAGTCCGCCTGAGGGGACTACCACCGGTGGGCAGGAGCAGCAGCCCCAGCAGCAGCAGGACCAGCCCCAGCCGCAGCCGCCGTCCCAGCAGCACCCGCCGCAGCCGTGGGCTCGTCTCCCGCCTGGTTGGCCCGGCACCTCCGGAGGCGGTGGCCGTGGTGGCGGCCCGCGCAGCTTGGCGTCTACCAGCGGCTCCAGTGCTGTGACCTGCCAGTACCAGCTTCAGACCGGGCCTCTCCGCGGCACTCTGTGCCGCCGCCCGCACCCGACCGCCCGCTGTTTCCGCCGCCTCGACGATCTTTTTCGTCGTCGCTTTGGCCCGGCCCCGGACCTCCCTGACTGGCACAGCCTACTCCGCCAGGGCGTGCCGATCTTTGAGTTAGACATGGATCAGATAGGTGCTGCTTTGCATGCTTTGTATGCTGACGCTTCTAGTGTTGCTGGATCTTACTACCCTGTGTACTCTAGTTTAGGTGTTTCACCCTTGTGTAGCTTAGCTTCCCCTGCTGCGACAGGCGTAGGACTGCCTAGGTTGCCTAGTCTAGTCGCTGCACCGGCTCCGTCCCCGGCCTCCGCCACTGCGTCGCTGTCCTTCACTCTCGACTCTGGTGCTTCTGCCTGCTTCTTCCGCGACCGTTCCACGCTCACGCCGCTTGCTGCACCTGCTGTTGTCTCTCTCGCTGACCCCTCTGCGGGTCCGGTCGTCGCGCGCAGTTCTACGTCCCTTCCTTGTCCGGCAGTTCCCTCGGGCTCCCTTACTGGCCTCCACGTTCCCTCGTTCTCCAGGAACCTGGTTGGTGTCGGCTGTCTCCAGGACCTCGGCGTCACCACCACGTTCCCCGGGCACGAGCGGTTCGCTGTCTGTTCTGAGGCTGTCTCAGGTTCCCCCCTTGCGACGTTCCCCCGGGACCCGGTGTCCGGTCTGTTTACCCTACACACCGCTTCCCCCCCGGTTGGTGCGTCCTCCCAGGTCGCTGCAGCTTGCTCGTGTCGGTCCCTCACTCACCCCTCCCTTCTCTGGCACCACCGCTTAGGTCACCCTGCTCTCCCGCGTCTGCGTCACATGTCCCAGCACGGTCTTGTCTTAGGTCTCCCCGCGTCGCTCCCTGCCCTTCCTCCCTCGACTGCGCCACCGTGCACGCCTTGCGTCGAGGGTCGGCTCCGCCGTGCTCCTCACTCCTCCTCGCTGTGTCCTGCTACTGCCCCCCTTCAGACCCTGCACTTGGACGTTTGGGGCCCTGCCCCCGTCCCCGGACCGCGCGGTGAGCGCTACTTCCTTGTGCTCGTCGACGACTACACGCGCTACACCACGGTGTTTCCCCTGGAGCGGAAGGCCGACGTGCCCGACGTTCTTCTCCCGTGGGTTGTGGCTGCGCGTCTCCACCGCGGTCTCCCCGTGTTGTGTCTCCACTCCGACCGTGGCGGCGAGTTCGCCTCTGGTCGGCTTGGACAGTTCTGTCGTGCGGAGGGCATCACCCAGTCGTACACGTTGCCGGACTCGCCACAGCAGAATGGGGTTGCTGAGCGCCGCATCGGCTTGGTCATGGAGGTCGCCCGTACCTCCATGATCCATGCCGATGCCCCCCATTTTCTGTGGCCGTTCGCTGTTCGCTACGCGGCTCACCAGCTTAACCTGTGGCCACGCTCCCAGCGGCCGCAGGTTTCGCCGACCCTCCTTTGGACCGGGTCCCCCGGTGACGCGTCTGCGTTCCACGTCTGGGGCTGCCTTGCTCACGTTCGTGCCTCTGGCACGGACAAGCTCACTGCCCGCACTGTCCCCTGTGTCTTCCTCGGTTTCCCCCTGGACTCGTCTGACTGGCTTTTCTACCACCCGCCGTCTCACCGCTTCCTCCACTCTCGTGACGTCACCTTTGACGAGTCCGTCTCCTTCTACCGCCGCTTCCCTCACCGAGGTCTCCCAGTTGCCCCCCCCCTTTTCCTTGCTCCCTCTCCCCCGGTAGCCCCTGCCCCTCTCCCGCCTCGTCCTGCCCCGTCTGGTGTCTCCCACGTCACTCCCCTCCCGTCGGTTGTCCCCGTTGACGAGTCTGCTGACTCTGGTGGTTCCCCCGGTCCGTCCTTGCAGCGTCCCCCTTCCCCGGTGCCTCCGCCCCCACTGTCGCAGTCGCCGACCCCGCTGCCGCCGCCGTCGCCGTCGCCGCCGCAGCCGTCGCCGCTGTCGTCGCCGCCGCCGCCGCTGTCGCTGCCGCAGCCGTCGCCGCTGTCGCCGCCGCCGCAGCCGTTGCCGCCACTGCCGCCGCTGCTCTCGGCCCCTGGGGGTGCTGGTGTGGAGGAGGGTGTTCGTCCTGCGGCTTCTGGGGGTGCCGCTGGTGTTGGAGGGGGTTCTCGCTCTGGGGGTGTTGGTTCTGGGGGTGCTGCTGTTGAGTGTTCTGCCGACGGTCGTTCTGCCTCTGCTGGTCCGAGAGTTCCGGCCCAGCCGTCGTCGCCGCCGGTTTCCGCTCTCCGCCTGCTCGGCCTTCCCTCCCCGGACCGC